TGTACGCAGGCATTGATAGAAAGCACTTTATAAGTACAGATAGTCCTTGACTTACGACCACAATTGAGACTAGAACTTCTGCTATTAAGCAATGAGGTGGTTAAATGAGTTGGGGCCTCTTTTATGACCTTTTTCCCTCCAGTTGTTAAACAAATCCCTTTAGTTGTTAAGTGAATCACACGCTTGTAAAGCGAATCCAATTTCTCCCATTGACTTGGCTTGTTGGAAGCCAGCTGGGAAGGCAGCCTATGCTGAGCACACGATCTCAGGGTGCTGCAACTATTGCAAATACATGCCGGTTGCCAAGCAACCAATTTTGATCATGTGACTGTAAGGAAGCTACATTGGTTGTAAGTGCAAGGACCAGTTAAGTCATTTTTTTTTCAGTGCCATTGTAATTTTGAACGGTCATTAAACGAATGTTATAAGTCGAGGACTACTTGTGTAAAAGTTTCCTTCCAAACTCTCTGTCATAGCAGCTCTAGATCCTTTTAAAGAACAGGACATTTCTTTTCAAGACTGCAAGTCTCCCACAGATGCTTCAACTTCAAAAAGTCGACTCTTAAATTGGTAGCTTTTTGTTGTTATTTTATAGATCCCTCTGGATGGTGGAAGGGTCGTTTCCATGGCCGAGAAGGACTTTTTCCTGGGAATTACGTAGAGAAGATCTGAAGAGAAATGCCAGTCTGAAACCGGAAGTAAGAGGCAAGATAGGAATGGGTAAATTAGCCATTTCATGGAGGCAAATTGTGCTAAGCACAAAGAAACTCTTACCTGGATAGATTTCAAAACGGCAACCTTTTTGTTTAAGAACCTCACTTAGTCAAGAGAGAAGACATAAAGCTCGCCCTAGTACTTTTCTCCACTTGTATGATCTTTTAAGGTGCTCAGATGCTACTTAAGAAAAGCGTTGAGAATGTAGAAATGTTTTAAATAACTAGCCGAGGAGTACTGTATACATGTGGGAGGTACTGCACTGCTTGCTGGGTATCGACACCCGATGCAATCTTGTTGGGGGCATTATATATAATTAAATATCAAATTTTAAAACACAAGGATTTCACTTGTCTTCTTTGGTTTCCCAATAGGGCACTTATTAAACGTTAGAGCTTGTTTATTAAGATGGCTGGTAAAATTAGTTTTATGAAGGGGTATCAAAATGAATGGAATAATTTGGCTTAATGTCACTGATAGAAGTGGTATTAAATTGATGCCTTTCTTTCCCATAATTTCATCACATGAATTTAATATACTACTTGTTTTTCAAAAATTGCCTCTTGGAAGAATAAATTCAATATGTATGTATAGAATACTGGATTTACAGCCCATATTTCTTATGGTGGTATACATGCAGAAGGATCTCTTAATCTTAGTCCCACAGTGAACTAAAAGGGGATGGTCCCAAAATATTGAACTTGGGATATTCCAGGCCCAAGTAAAAAGTGCCCCCTCCCCATATTAACTGTCATTAATACTCAACTCAGGAAAGAAACCTGAGTAATGTAGTTTTAGCTAGTCAGCTATATCATATGAGCAGGTCAGTGGGAGGAGTTACTATAGTCAGCTATATTATGTTAGCAGGTCAGTGGGAGGAGTTACTAAAGTTCATTACAGGATACACTGGCTACGTGGCCAGTTTGGAATGCTTTTGTCTGAGATAAGTATTGGGCCACGACAGGACTCAGATGGTATGGAGGAAGCATTCATTAATTTCTTACTGTTCAGATCCAGAGTTAAGTTGCTTTATAAATCCAAATCTTACAGATAACTTAAGAATGATTCCAAAATAGACATTTTATTCAGAAGGAAATACTTGCAGTTTTGGTTGCTTCTGGATATCATAGATCTGTTCATCCTTATAGGTAAGAAATTAATGCTTCCTCCATACCAGTTTGTAGCGTGGAATGGGACCATCTGAGTCCTGTCATGGCCCCATACTTATCTCAGACAAAAGCATTCCAAACTGGCACGTAGCCAGTGTATCCTGTAATGAACTTTAGTAACTCCTCCCACTGACCTGCTAACATGATATAGCTGACTAGCTAAAACTACATTACCCTTAAGCCATCTCTTAAGGAGACAGTACTTAACCCAATAAATGCCAAACATTCTAACACAGAGAGATACATGCTCTAGTCAGGATTATATAATCCAGAACAAGGTAGATAAGTATGTATTATGGTTCCTGATTTTTTTTTTTAAGCATGGCCATGGACCAGGCAAGTTAGGAGTACTGTAACTAGATTTTAGTATAAATGAAAGACAACAATCCAAGGATAACGCTACATAGCAATTTGTGCCAATACCTTTCTAAAAAGAAAAGGTTTTGAAACAGTAAAACCAGCAGTAAAGTAAAATATAAACTTTTATTTAGAATTAAAGCGAATACTTCAGTATCACAAACACACAATATTAAACTTCCAAGAAATATATTGCTAATTTGGAGTGAGCATTTATTTTTGCACAATTACAACATGCGGACAAGTCCAGGGGAAAAAAAGAGAAAAGATGACAAAAGTTGGAAATTTTCAACATCTTTCCCACCACCAGAGCAGCTGTCACAATAATTCGTACAAAGAGCAAGTCATTTTATGTGTGTGCATGTATGCTGATGCATAAGATGTTGACAAAATTCCTACAGATTCATCTTTTGACAAGGAACAAGCTCTAAAAGGCAAACACTGCAATCTAGTCTTCTTCAGAAGAGTCTCGTTCAAATGTGTACGCCATAAAGCAAGCGTCAGGTCTCTTGGGAACAAGGGGATGCCCTGGTCTCACAATCTCAAAGCCCAAGAAGCTGAAGGTACGGAGCAGCGAAGCTACAAGGAAAACCAGAGATTTAGTACCAATTCCTTGAGATACAGGACACAAGGCTTAACACGCAAGCAAAGGCATCACCCACTCCACAACCCCCTTAGAAACGCAGTCTGCTCACATGGTATCATCCCAGCTTCCTTACCTCTGTCATCTCTGTTCTTGTGGAAACAAATAAACACATGCTCTACTTGAAGCTGCTCTTCCGCAAACTCAAGAAGAACTGCGAAACTAAAGACAGGAAGAGAGTGAGACACTTTCTCGCCCCCTCAAGAGGTATTTCAAAACTATGATTTTCATCTAGCGCAGTGGTTCTCAACCTTTGTGTGACGGCGACCCCCGCCCCACGGACACGGCACGCATGCACGGCGCCGACCCCATGCACGGTGCACATGTGTGGCCCCGCCCCATGCGCGGTGCGCCCGAGGGAGAAAAATGGCGGATCGCGTTGTTTGGCGATCCCCGTAAAATGGTCGTTCAACCCCAAATGGGGTCGCGATCCATAGGTTGAGAACCGCTGATCTAGCGGAAGATCCGTGATAGGGGAAAGGTTAAAAGATAAAAAGAACACTATTAGGAAATCTACTATCCACCTACTGTACAAACTCACAGATGAGCCAAGAATTTTAAGCTCCAAAATACAGCTGGAAAAAAATTGGCTCACCTGTGAATCAGAGCTCAGATCATGTCCTTAATATTGAGCAGTTGTATAAATAACAGTTTGCAGTTTCCTGCCTATTGCTGTAGTTAAAAGATGAGGGTAAGCTTATATGTGGGTGATGCATTTTTCATGGTATTTTGCTTGAATTTTTGAGGGCTGTTTTATCCACTGATGCATAAGTGTATGGGCTTTCTGCTCTATAATCTTATGGCCATTTTAAATTTCATGCTCTTCTAGCTTTACACATGATTACAAACCAAAAAGCACATGCTCAAATACCAACAGCAGAACACACTTTCAATGCAGTTGCTGAAAAATAGTTTAAAGAATTGAAATGCATCATTTTCTCTTGCTCCTGAACACCCAGGGCACTGATAATTTTTTCTCTAATTACTCAATACTGTTTCAGCTAAATTTGATAAACAGTATCACCCAATAGCGAGTTTCACTAATTCACTTTCAAATCTATCAAGATCTAGATAGAGTTTGACTTCCTCCACAAATATCTTCTAGAGCAGTGGTTCTGAACCTTTTTAATGCCGCGACCCCCAACCGGTCGTAAGTCGAGGACTACTCAACCGGTCGTAAGTCGAGGACTATTCAACTGGTGCAGCACCGTTTGCAGAATGGGACTTTTGGCAGGCTCAGCAGGGCAGAGACAGCCTGGACAATTCTATTGGCTTTTGAAAGCCAATAGAATTAGACTCTATTCAAGAGAGTCTATTCTATTGGCTTTCAAAAGCCAATAGAATAAAAGGGAGTAGCACAGCTAAGGAAAAGGGGGGGGGGAAATGGCGGACTGCGTTTGGCGACACCCGTGAAATGGTCGTTCGACCCCAAATGGGGTCCCGATCCACAGGTTGAGAACCACTGTTCTAGAGTCATGAAATGTAATCATGGAAAGGTATGAACTGAATACAAGAAAACAGACAGCACGTGACATAGGCCAAGAACATAGCTGCAAACATAGTACTGAGAATATAGCAGTTTGCAGCTGTGGACCAATGATTACTTGAAATTATGAAATTTCCTGTTGATCTGATAGTAAGAACTATTTCATAATGTGAGTATTTCAAAATCAACTATTTTGCTCTACCTGTCTTTGCTCCCCTCCGGCAAGGAGCCATTGGGAAGTTCAATATACAAATTGCTGTTATTCAACACAGTTCTCCAACTGATGTGTTTGGCATCCGTCAGCCTGGATTGGATAGTCAGGATTCTTGTCCTGTTACTTGATGTTATTTCCTCTGTTACATTCAGCCGATTATCCTAGGAAAGCAAGGCAGAATTTAGATTATTTATAGATCCCCTGAACTATAAGCATACTGACCAAACAATGCATGGACTTGTACCCCACATTTTCCAACAGCACAAGATTAGTTCTTGTGCTGGCTTACTTGCCAGGCCCACTATTCAGTTAGGTACAAATCAGATACTCTTAATAGCTAATCCAGAAACCACCCTCTTCCAATTCCTTTAAGCTTCTCAAGCCCTCCACAATTCAAACGGTATCAATCTCAATTTATAAAGAAGACGTGTACTTACAGAATAAAATAAATTAGCTGAAAGATTGTGATCCCTCCGACTATTCCCTCGCCCACCTGGGATCTTCAGGGGTGGGTGAGGGACATCAGGAGCACCACCGAGGCCCCGGACCCAGGTTACTACAGCAACTGAAGGACACCCTGGAACTGAGAGGAAGACAGAAATATTATTGAGGTCGAAATTCATGGGCAGACTAAAAATTTTCACATAATGTACCAAATATGGTAAAAAATAACCCATTATACCCTAGCTAGCAGAAAGTTATAGACCAGCACTTAGAAAGCCTGAGGTTGGAAATGTCTAGATCAGTGGTTCTTAACCTGGGTGATATTGCCCCCCAGGGGGCGATTTCATTTTTTAGGGGGGGGGATGGAACGAAAAGGGGCGATGTGGGGGCGAAGGAACGAAAAGGGGGCGATATGGGGGCAATGGAGCGAGAAGTTTTGGGGACACTTTTGAGACGTTTTCGTACAGTGCATGGCTGTATATCTGTCGTACAAAAATATCAGCTCACTCGCTATTAGTGGATTGAATTGTTTTCAAATGTTCCTCCAGCTAGCTTCAGTACAGAATGCCGTTCATATGTGAATATGCATCGCTTATCTTCATGCGCGTTGCGCAGCAGCCTCTATCCATATAGTGGTGCGCCATTGGCCAAAATGGGCAGTGATGGAGGGGGGAGTGCTTCTTTCGATACATCGAAAGAGTGGCTGTCCCGTGACGTCAGCTGTAATGTCAACATAACTGTTGAAACTAGGTTTATTGATGTCCATGTGTGTTTTTTTAGTGTTCCAGTGGAGTCGAAAATTTAATTTGCAGGTAGTGCCTTTCATTTTGAAGACCTCTCAACATGGCCAAGAAGAGGAAGTGTCGCCAATATTTGACGGAATACCTAAAATTGGGATTCATTCCATCTCCTTCCAACGTACAGCTTCCGTTTTGTCTTCTTTATGAGAAAACATTTTCAAATGAAGCGATGAAGCCTTCTCGACTGAAAGACCATTTGGTAAGAATTCATTCGGATAAAGCTGACAAACCGGCATCGTTTTTCCAATCCTTAAAGGCCAAGTTTGAGGGTCACAGCACTGTTGGGAAGTTATTTGGAAAATCGTCAGTCAATGCTGACAAGGGGCTCATTTGTTCCTATGAGGTTATCTCTGTTGATAGCAAAATGTGGCAAACCTCACACTATTGGAGAAACGCTGATTTTACCAGCAGTGAAACAGATTGTTGCCACCATGTTGGGGCCCAGCACTATCACGGAATCGATTCCTTTGATCAATGACACCGTATCAAAAAGAATTGATGAAATGGCTACTGATGCGGAAGAAAGGCTTATTGAAACCTTGAAAAATACAGAATTCGTGATGCAGATTGACGAGTCAACAATTTGTGAAAATGAAGCCTTGTTATTGGCTTATGCCTGTTTCATCTTAGTTCCTGCATTGCGGTTTGTTCTTATGCTCTTTTTATATTTCTTTTTGCGTCTTAAATTTCACTTGTAATTCAATCATTAAATGTTACTGCTTTTCTTTTCGGGCATTTCACTTTCTTGCAATTGAATTTTGCTTTCAGTGGTCATTACATTTAAGTGTCTTGAATAAATAAGATAATAATGAAATACATGTATCATGAAGTTTGGGAATAAAGTGACGGGTGGCACCAAAAATTTTCACACAGCTGAGATATGGGAAAAAGACTGGAAATAAATTATTTGCATCTATATGTCCTGATGCTAATTTTAAAGAAAACAAAAAAAGTGTTTGCATAAATTGAAAAATTATTTCCTATGTTGTGATTGAGAGGTTAAGTTGGGGGAGGGGGGCGATGACAACTTTCACTGACTCAAGGGGGCAATTCGTTCAAAAAGGTTAAGAACCACAGCTCTAGATAATCCCATCAGCAAATGGGGAGATGAGATTATCTCACTATCATTCCTCCTCTAAGTTTCTAGTAGTTACATGGGACATCTAACTTCCAGGAACTGCACAGTTGCCCCCAGAATCACACCTGGATATATACTGAGTGGGGCAGACTTCTCTTCTTAGCTTTGGTAGATCTGATAAGCAAACACAGAACCTTTGTGTGCTGCAATGCAACCTTTACATTACATAACCTTTGTATTCAGAGACTGTGATAAAAAGAACAGTAAACCTACATATAGATTACAGTAACACATTCTAACAGCCTGCCTTTGGAAATGATCTAGAAACTACAACTGGTAGAAATGTAGCAGCCAGGACGCTAGCAAGCAGAATAGTAGTACTGCAATGCAACATCTATTCTCCAGTTGATTACTGAATCCGAATCCAATTCAAAATGCTGGGCTTGAGCTGTAATGTTCCATGTGGCTTGGCTCCAGGATATTTCGGGGACCAGTGAATTTAAGTGAAATCTATCTAACCTCTAAGTGCATATTTAGAGGAAGGAGTTTAGGGTTCCATTTTGCAACAAGTGGGCATGAATCCAAAGATGGGTCC